GGGAACAAATGACACGGATAGATTCTCACTGGAAAGTATTAAGGGAGACTATGCTAGGCTGGGGAAGATGCTTAAGGAAATCGAGGCTCAGGTGATCTTTAGTGGGATTCTGCCTGTTCCTAGAGAAGGGCAACAAAGGTGTGACAAGATTCTGACTATCAACAGATGGCTTAGGCAGTGGTGCTATAAGGAGGACTTTGGGACGTATGGCTACTGGGAGGCATTCATGGACAGAGGACAGTTCTCTCAGGATGGACTTCATCTGAGTAGGGAAGGAAATAGACTTCTAGGATGGAGGCCGGCACAACTGATTAAGAGAGCTTTAAACTAGGAATCTGGGGAAGATGGCTGGGAGATGTCCAGGTAATCTCCACGACGGATTTTAGCATTGAGAGGGAAGAAAACAAAGTAAGAAAGGTTACAGCCATGGGTAGGAGAATGTATATAAGGAGGAAGGGCAGTGTGGATACCAGTCTAATAGGTTATACTGGCTGTAGAATGACCGTGCCTAATAGGGTACAGAATGTGAGCGAGGCCAAACAGCAAAAATTAAGATGTTTGTACACCAGTGCGAGGAGCCTAGGTAACAAAATGGAGGAACGAGAGCTACTGGTGCAGGAAGTGAAACCAGATATTATAGGGATAACAGAAACATGGTGGAATAGTAGTCATGACTGGACTACAGGTATTGAAGGGTATGTGCTGTTTAGGAAAGACCGAAATAAAGGTAAAGGTGGTGGAGTAGCATTGTATATCAATGATGAGGTAGAATGTAAAGAAATAAGAAGCGATGGAATGGATAAGACAGAGTCCGTCTGGGCAAAAATTACATTGGGGAAGAAAACTACTAAAGCCTCCCTTGGGATAGTGCTTGGGGTGTGCTATAGACCGCCGGGATCTAATTTGGATATGGATAGAGCCCTTTTTAATAAAGTAAATACTAATGGAAACTGCGTGATCATGGGAGACTTTAACTTCCCAGATACAGACTGGAGGACGAGTGCTAATAATAATAATAGGGCTCAGATTTTCCTAGATGCGATAGCTGATGGATTCCTACATCAAGTAGTTGCTGAACCGACTAGAGGGGATGCCATTTTAGATTTGGTTTTGATGAATAGTGAGGACCTCATAGAAGAAATGGTTGTAGGGGATAATCTTGGTTCAAGTGATCATGAGCTAATTCAGTTCAAACTGAACGGAAGGATTAACAAAAATAAATCTGCAACTAGGGTTTTTGATTTCAAAAGGGCTGACTTTCAAAAATTAAGGAAATTAGTTAGGAAAGTGGATTGGACTGAAGAATTTATGGATCTAAAGGTAGAGGAGGCCTGGGATTACTTTAAATCAAAGCTGCAGAAGCTGTCAGAAGCCTGCATCCCAAGAAAGGGGAAAAAATTCATAGGCAGGAGTTGTAGACCAAGCTGGATGAGCAAGCATCCTAGAAAGGTGATTAAGAAAAAGCAGAAAGCATACAGGGAGTGGAAGATGGGAGGGATCAGCAAGGAAAGCTACCTTATTAAGGTCAGAACATGAAGGGATAAAATGAGAAAGGCCAAAAGCCATGTGGAGTTGGACCTTGCAAAGGGAATTAAAACCATTAGTAAAAGGTTCTATAGCCATATAAATAAGAAGAAAACAAAGAAAGAAGAAGTGGGACCGCTAAGCACTGAGGATGGAGTGGAAGTTAAGGATATTCTAGGCATGGCCCAATATCTAAACAAATACTTTGCCTCAGTCTTTAATAAGGCTAAAGAGGATCTTAGGGATAATGGTAGCATGACAAATGGGAATGAGGATATGGAGGTAGATATTACCATATCTGAGGTAGAAGCGAAACTCAAACAGCTTAATGGGACTAAATCGGGGGGCCCAAATAATCTTCATCCAAGAATATTAAAGGAATTGGCACCTGAAATTGCAAGCCCATTAGCAAGAATTTTTTATCAATCTGTAAACTCTGGAGTTGTACCATATGATTGAAGAATTGCTAACATAGTTCCTATTTTTAAGAAAGGGAAAAAAAGTGATCCGGGTAACTACAGGCCTGTTAGTTTGACATCTGTAGTATGCATGGTCTTGGAAAAAATTTTGAAGGAGAAAGTAGTTAAGGACATTGAGGTTAATGCTAATTGGGACAAAATACAACATGGTTTTACAAAAGGTAGATCATGTCAAACCAACCTGATCTCCTTCTTTGAGAAAGTAACAGATTTTTTAGACAAAGGAAATGCAGTGGATCTAATTTACCTAGATTTCAGTAAGGCGTTTGATACCGTGCCACGTCGGGAATTATTAGTTAAATTGGAAAAGATGGGGATCAATATGAACACTGAAAGGTGGATAAGGAATTGGTTAAAGGGGAGACTACAACAGGTCCTACTGAAAGGTGAACTGTCAGGCTGGAGGGAGGTTACCAGTGGAGTTCCTCAAGGATCAGTTTTGGGACCAATCTTATTTAATCTTTTTATTACTGACCTCGGCACAAAAACCGGGAGTATGCTAATAAAGTTTGCGGATGATACAAGGCTGGGAGGTATTGCCAATTTAGAGAAGGACCGGGATATCATACAGGAGGATTTGGATGACCTTGTAAACTGGAGTAATAGTAATAGGATGAAATTTAATAGTGAGAAGTGTAAGGTCATGCATTTAGGGATTAATAACAAGAATTTTAGTTATAAGCTGGGGACGCATCAATTAGAAGTAACGGAGGAGGAGAAGGACCTTGGAGTATTGATCATAGGATGACTATGAGTCGCCAACGTGATATGGCTGTGAAAAAAGCTAATGCGGTCTTGGGATGCATCAGAAGAGGTATTTCCAGTAGGGATAAGGAGGTTTTAGTACCATTATACAAGGCACTGGTGAGACCTCACCTGGAATACTGTGTGCAGTTCTGGTCTCCCATGTTTAAGAAGGATGAATTCAAACTGGAACAGGTACAGAGAAGGGCTACTAGGACGATACGAGGAATGGAAAACTTGTCTTATGAAAGGAGATTCAAGGAGCTTGGCTTGTTTAGCCTCACTAAAAGAAGGCTGAGGGGAGATATGATTCCTCTCCTTAAATGTATCAGAGGGATAAATACCACAGAGGGAGAGGAATTATTTAAGCTCAGTACCAATGTGGACACAAGAACAAATGGATATAAACTGGCCACCAGGAAGTTTAGACCTGAAATTAGACGAAGCTTTCTAACCATCAGAGCAGTGAAGTTTAGGAATAGCCTTCCAAGGGAAGCAGTGGGGGCAAAAGATCTATCTGGCTTTAAGATTAAACTCGATAAGTTTATGGAGGAGATTGTATTATGGGATAACATGATTTTGGTAATTAATTGATCTTTAAATATTCATGGTAAATAGGCCTAATGGCCTGTGATGGGATGTTAGATGGGGTGGGATCTGAGTTATCCAGGAAAGAATTTTCTGTAGTATCTGGCTGGTGAATCTTGCCCATATGCTCAGGGTTTAGCTGATTGCCATATATGGGAATCGGGAAGGAATTTTCCTCCAAGGCAGATTGGAAGAGGCCCTGGAGGTTTTTCGCCTTCCTCTGTAGCATGGGGCACGGGTCACTTGCTGGAGGATTCTCTGCTCCTTGAAGTCTTTAAACCACGATTTGAGGACTTCAATAGCTCAGACATAGGTGAGGTTTTTCGCAGGAGTGGGTGGGTGAGATTCTGTGGCCTGCGTTGTGCAGGAGGTCAGACTAGATGATCATAATGGTCCCTTTTGACCTTAGTATCTATGAATCTATGAGATAGGTGTTCTGCTCTCTTATATATATGTAGAATATCTTAACCATCAAAATGCATGAAGAATTACAATATGTACATGCGGAACATTTCACTTAAGTGACCTCCAAAATTCAGCAACCGTTATATTGGCACCCACAGAACTCGGTAACAGAAGTGAAGCAATGAAGTAAAGAGGCATTTAAGAAGGCACAATATAGTTTCTCTCAGGGTTTTATAAATTTACCTAACCCATTCGAGCCAAGGACTAAGGCTACGTGGCCGGGTGAAATGCCTGTCTCCCAAAGCACGAGTGGGGGGAGCACTGCTACAAGAATTCCCCTGTCACCCTGCATGTAGTCCCAAACTCTTCCTTACCCTCTCTCCTTGGTACAAGTTCTCCAGATTTGGATGTGGAGCCAGATGCGGGGAATAGGATAAGGAATTATAGAGAGGGCCATTGCTAAAAGAAACGAGGTTCTTAATTCCTTAAGTGTGCTTAGGTTTTTGTCACCATAAAACTTTCATTCAGAAAGTATTAGCTCATATTCTGTACCATGTAGTACAAGGGCATAAGCAGTAAACATCACATTAACATGTCAACCTAATCCTGCTGGGGGAGGCCTTGATAACCCGATCCGCCCCCCATGGCTGCAGGTTTGGCAGCACTAGGTCTTTTCTGCTCATGGCACAGCCCATATGTAGAGTATGCTACCGAGACCGATGATCCTTCTAATTCCCTCTGTGCCCCTCCCCCTCGATGTGTGAAACAAATGACTAGCAGAGTTCAAGATTTAAACCTATGAACATAATCTTTCCCACACATAGTCCATCTCCTGATTCACACATGCTCTTTTTCTTTTTTTACATTATTTCCCTGCCATTTTCCTCACCTTACACGTTCTCTCCAATCCCAACAATCTTTCTCTCACTCTCGCCAGTGGACGGGGAGAGTTCCCTTCTCTCACAATAAAAGGCCTCTTTCTCTACCAGTAGTACCATCTGCTCAGCTTTGCCTCATCATACATGCAGTGACATAATGCAACATCCCCACTCCCAACCTGCTGCTGCTGCCACTGCTTCTTAAGCAAAGAGCTGAGTGGGTTTTTCAAGCCTAGATTGCTGTAAGAAGATGAACCAACCCTTGAGATGACAGCACTGAAAAATGAAAGTTTCATTTTCCAGAAACAACAGTGTCCCCCAGAATATGCAGAAGAAAGAATTTCCCAACTTTAATTCTGCAGCCTGTTTGTATAGTACTTACTTGGTGCATTCTTCTAATGACTGTACAAGCATTTGCTGGTAAGAACTGATTTCTTCCAGGTTTCCCATTAAATATGAAGTATTTGCAGAGTTTAATCTGAAGCCAAGAAAAATAAAGCTTAGTAAGCAGCTGCAAGCTCAAAAAAAACCCCAACCTACATATAAAACTTTACTTCTATTTCTGCTTTAATCAAAGTCATAGATTTGACAACAAAAATATGTATTTACTATTATCATTTATTTGCATTACCATAGCGCCTAGGAGCCCTAGTCATGGAGCAGGACCCTACTGTGCTAGGCACTGGACAAAGAGGACAAAAAAACAGACCCTGCACCAATGATCTTACAATCAAAGCCTAAGAGATTATAGGCAAACATTTCAATGCCAAGTGACTACTTAACTGTAAAGCTTGTAAAACTGAAGTTTTGATCATATGAAAAACAAAATCTAAGCCCTAGGTAAATTAAAAGAAAACAAAACACACATACTTTTCACTGACTTGTAACGGTCGCAAGTAGTTTGAAAGCATTGTCTGTAGTTCCTTAGCATATTCATTTTCTGTTTCTAAAATATTTTGTAGCACCTATAATAAATATATGACAATTAGTGACTATTTTGTTATTTTCAAAGAGACATTACAAAATATTTTTTAAAAATTGAAATATTCTTTTTAGCATTTACTGTAACAAGCATACTGTAAGACCATAAAACTTACCCAAAGAGCTAATAATCAGATACTGAATTAGATTCATACACTGACAATAAGTTGTTAAATATTACGTTTTGCAGCTATTAAACTTTTCCTTCAGACGTCTACGTACCACAAAAGGAGTAAGCCCAAAGGAAGGTTTCATTAAACTTAGCAACAATGTTTCCTGTAGAATTTAAATACCTACACACTGAGCTTTTTCAAAAGTAGGAGAATATTATTGCTTCTATACACTTTAAAACGGTTGAGGGGTTTTCAGAAAATGACAAAAAGTACCAGAAGTTAGCACTAGTCTTTTGAATCCCTTGTTACCATCTATTCTTCTATTGGGATTATTTCCTCAATCTTAATGATTAAAACCAAGGCATTCACCAAATCTTGACTGCCAAATTTGTTACTGAGTTTACCTGGAAGTGCAATTCTGTGTCTAAGAGGACTGTGGGTAAATTTTAAATACACAATGTGATTATTTTAAGATAATTCTGTTTAAAAACACATTACAGAATGTTGACTGAATGTGAATGTAACAGCAGTAAACTACTGCAGAAAAATTACCAGTTTCGGACATAAAACAAAGACAAACAATATGGCACAAGACTTTTTTACATCACATCACCACATGTACATCAACAGCAGTAATTTGGAATAACTTGAAATGTATACAGGAGATCATTCTTTATTAGGCAACCTCCTCTAAAGAGACTGCCCCAAAAGATCCTAAAATGTATTCTGCTCGGTTCTAAGAACATAAGAACAACCATACTGGGTAAGATCAATGATTAACACTAAGTTTTAGTCATGGGTATGTTTAGTAAAAGTAATGGACAGGTCACAGGCAACAACAAAAAAATTCATGGCCTGTGACCTGTCCATGACTTTTACTATATACCCCATACTAAAACTTGGGTGGGGGGCCGCGGGTGTTCTGGGGGGGCATTCAGAGGTGCTGCGGATGCTGGGAGAGGTGGCCCAGGACCGCACTGGTGCTGGGGAGGTTTGGTGGGGCTCGCAAGCTCCCTACCCGGCTCCGCCATGTGTCCCTGCAGCTCCTAGGCAGCGGAGGGGCCAGGGAGTTTTGCACGCTGCTCCTGCCACAAGCATCGGCCACTGCAGCCAATGGGAGCTGCAGAGGAGGGGGCATGTGAGCATGGGCAGCACACGCAGCTCCCTGTCCCCTCCGCCTAGGAGCTGCAGGGCCATGCCAGTGGGAGACGGGGAGCCCCCCCCATCCTGAGAAAAGCACCCCCCTCTGCTCCTAGCCCCCTCCCACACACCCAAACTGCTGCTGCTGGCCCTGGGGCTGCTCGGCTTGGGCAGCCCCTGAGCCAGCACCCGCCACTGTAGAAGTCACAGAGGTCACGAAATGTCACAGAATCTGTGACCTCCATGACAGACTCACAGCCTAACCAATGATCCATCTAGCCCAGTTCTGGTCTTCCAACAGTGGCCAGTGCAAGATGCTTCAGAGGGAGTGAACAGAACACGGAAATTTATCAAGGAATCCACCCCACCATCCAGTCCCAGTTTCTAGCAGTCAGGGGTTTAGGGACACCCAGAGCATGGCGTTGTTTCCTTGACCTGATGCATTTATAGTAGAAGTCCCTCCTTTGTTAAGCAACCACAGTTCTGTAGCCCCTTCAGACAGGTTTCATTGTCTCCAAAATGTCAACAGATATGCACAGTACAGATTTTACTTACTGGTGATTCAGCAACAGAATGGCCTTTCGTGTCTGAATTAAATATACTTCCCTAAACTTGTTAGAATATTTTATATGTAAAGAAACAGACCATTTTTAAGCTTTTCTGCCTTACAGAATCACAATTAGATTTGTTCTTGCTTTAAACCAATGTAACATGGGTATGTTCTGGATAGTTCTGTGACTTTTAATGCATTGCATGTAAGTTGCCACATTACCTTCTCTCTCGTGTTATATTTGTCTATATTAACATCTAATTTCATCATTTATAATAAGGACTGCACTAAATGCATTATTCACCGTTGTAGTCTATACTCTGTTTTAAGACATAAAAAGCCATTCATGTCTAAATGCAAACCTGATGAAACAAATGACATCTGAACTATTTAAAATGAAGAATTCACTGTTTCTTTCCTTGGTGTCATTGAATTCTGCTTTATTCTCTGAATGGTTCTATTCATCTGAAGGAAAAGAGACCACTTTCGAGTTCATTCTCTTGTTGGAACTCTGAATCCTGACCCAAAGATTAAAATGTCTCCATTCTTCAAGACACCGTGTCAGAGGAATGCCACAGAGAAAGCATTAGCTATTAATTGCGCAGCTAGAATATACAGTACAACATTAGCGCACAAACTGTAAGGGGAATAAACGTATTAGTTTTAACGTATTTGGAAAGGGACTAAACAAAGATAAAAACAATAGCTGATCATTACAGAATCACAAACAAGAGTGAACAAGGTTTCATGCAAAAATATAACAAAAAGAGTGCTAAAATAAAATGCATAACACATAGAGCCATTTGCCCTTTCAGGGCTAACTCCAAAATTAATTTTCCCAACACGGCTTTCCCATAAAACAATATGTACACACACAAAACTTTCCAAAGCTGAGAAGAAGGAAGCAGATGAACCAACATCAAGAACATGACATCCTGAACATGACAAAGTGCTCCAGTACCAAAGTGAAAGAAATTTGCTGGAGACTTGAAAAAAGCCTCAGTACCATGGCAGTCTCCATGATACAGCAAATATTCTGAATGTACATTCTGTTTCACAACGTAATAACTGCCTGAAAATCTGGTGACTAAATAATATTAACCTGTACAGAGATCGCTTGATTTTTTTGAAAAAAATCATTTAAAAAGGTAGCAAATATTTCAACATTTTTAAGAATCAATATGCAGCAGTACCCCCAGGAAATTAAAATGCATTGAACAGTCAATATCACTGTGCTGTAAAGCCCTACTCAAAAAGGTAAGTTACCAGATTCACCTACTTCGTTTTAAATCATTCCAAAACTCTACTGGTGCGATGCAATGCTATTAGACATGCACATATTATTAAAAGTCATTTAAAATACATTAAACTTCTCCTTTAGTTGACTTTCCTGTCTGCATAAAGAGTGATGACTGTCATTGTATACAGCATTCTTGTTTCTACTTTGAGAAGCATTTTTTTTAAACCTGGTTCACAGAGATCTAAATGCCATTTTTCTGTGTCACCCTGCCCCCAGCAACTTTCAGTATTACTTACCTACCTCACAAGGAAGTTGTGAGGATTAAATGTCTGTACAGCACTTTGAAGATATAAAGTTCTATAAAGTGCTCAGTATTACAAGTATAGAGTATTACAGTGCCTCTCCAGAGCACTTCTGAATTCCTAATCTCACCACCATGCCTGTATTCTCTAATAATCACCTTTCTTGCCTTTCCTGCTTTCTGCATGTTCTGGCTGCTGCAAGACCCCATGAGACCTCAAAGACCTTGTTCTCAAAGCTCCATCACAACATTTGCACAGATAAATCTGGGTACCAAAGGAACGGGTCGTTTTCATTGAAAGGGCAGCTTTTACAATACGTAACAGTAATGAATGGCATAGAAAGCTGAGCTCATCCAGTGCAAGCTTTCCCTTAGTCACAAGGCATGGAAAAATCAAGCGTGGTTAACAGTTCTGTCACACAAACCCAGTAACCTCCCTAAGGCAAAAACTATCACCCAAAAATGGATTTAAATGACCTACATAGAACTGTGCAACTTTCAAACCACATGAAAAGAAAATCAGATTTTGTTACAACATTAGGGACATGCGTCACATTACCATTTTGTCACACCACTACCATCACTCATCTAAAGCATCACCTCATTATAACAAATAAAAAACATTGTGTACTTTGCTTTTATCACTGGAACTCAATAAGCCACATCCTCAAACATGAACTCCTAAGCAGGGCATGCAAATGTTACACATGCACAAATTCTACATCGACAAGCAAACAAAGGGTACTTGGAGATTTGTAATGAACTATTTTGCACACGCAAATGCCGGCTGATGCAGCTTGGGAAGTTTGGCGTTATAGAAGGGCTCTCATTTTAAAGCATATAGGAACAAATAATGGAAAATTAGAGTCAGAAAGTGAACTATTGCTTTACCTCGTTTTCCACCCCTAGATCAGTCACTAGAAATCCTCTACTTGAATTTGTGCTATCTGCATATAGTAGACCATTATCTTATAGACTTACATAATAGAGAAATAAAACTTGACACATTAAGCTTTATTATTCTATAATGGTCAACTAGCAAAAGGTGAAAGTACAAATAATTTTTTTTAAAGCCTGTCCTACAGTGATGTCATGTGATAACATGCCCACTTTGCAGCATCTAGTTACTTATTTATCCTTCATTTAAAGTAATGTATTTCATTGTTAATTCTACATCTGGTTCAGATTATGTAGTTCTTAAGTATCCTTATATGTCAAGATGGATGGGCTTTGCATCAAAATAATTCACTGCAATTTATTATTTATATATTCCCCTGCCAAGCACATATCTTGTCCTGCATACTCAATTACATAGTGTAATATGTACTAAATCAAACTTACTTTGAGATCAGAATGTATGAAAACAGTTTATTAATTGCAGATGGTGCTCTATAAATTGATAAAATAAAATAACATGATCAGGGAGGAGTGGGTAGCATATTTGTGGAAAGAGCCCTGAGGTCATCAGATTATGAGATTTTCCACTGCCCTGTCCCATCCTGGAAGGGGAGTTGGCAAAATTTCCCCCACCATATTCAGAGTTTCCTCTGAACTGCACTTTGACTCCTTCCTCCTTCCATGAGGGCTGTCTAGTATCACAACTCCTTCTCCAAAAACCTACTGTGAGGCTTGAACATAAG